AGACTCGCTTGAGCCCAGGAGTTGGAGGTTGCTGTGAGCTGTAATGCCATGGCACTCTACCCAGGGGGACAGCTTGAGGCTCTGTCTCAAAAAAAATAAATAAATAAATAAACAAACAAAAATAATAATAAAGAACTATTCTGGACATCTTATCAGGCTTCGTCAGTTGCAGCTCCTCTCTGAGCTTCACCTGCTGCTTAAGGTCGACAAGAAGAAGAAAAATGCTGGACCAAGAAAGACAAAGACCCAGCAAGCAAATCTCCAGGAAAGGCCAAAAAGAAGTAGTCAAGACGAAAAGTTTGGGATAAGCTCAACAAACTACTCAAAAAAGTCATTCACCAGTTAAAAACTCCATATGACAAACTCTGTAAGAAGTTCCCTGCTATAGGTTTATAATCCCAGCTGTGGTCTCTGAGAGACTGAAGATTCAAGGTTCCTTGGCCAGGGCAACCCTTCAGGAGCTACTCACTAAAGGACTTATCAAACTGGTTTCAAAGCACAGAGCTCAAGAAATTTACGTCTGAGTGGCACCTATGGGTCAGTGAGTAGGGCACCAGCCCCATATACCGAGGGTGGTTGGTTCAAACCCGGCCTCAGCCAAACTGCAACAAAAAATAGCTGGGCGTTGTGGGCAGGTGCTTAGTCCCTGCTGGGAGGCTGAGGCAGGAGGATTGCCTGAACCCAAGAGCTGGAGGTTGCTGTGAGCTGTGACACCACAGCAATCTGCCAAGGGCAACAAAATGAGACTCTGTCTCTAAAAAAAAAAAAAAAAAAAAGTGCAAGAAATGTAACCTAATCATTTGTATCCTTTATTAATATAAAATAAACCCCTATGGTTTTATATACAATCATATAAATATTTTTTGCTACAAAAACATAAATAGAAACGTTTTATATTTTTCTACAAGTATTTAAAAGTTCTAGCATGTTCCATGCACTGGATGATATTACATGATAGAATTTCTTCAAGTACCACTCATGGGAGATTTTTGGTGATTTCCTAGAGCTGGTAGGAAATCTAATCAATTCAACCAGCATAAAAGGTAAACTAGGGAAGTTCTGACTGCTTACAGACATTCTTTCACTCTGATGGCACAGCAGAGTCTGTCTCACTGTCTAGAAAGATGAACTTCCCAGAGTTCACCAGATGGTCCTCAATGGTCTGCTTCGAAAGCCTGTCTCCCAGCGTTTCCAAGGCCTCCAGCAGACAGTTCACCGAGGCCTTCAGTCCTTTCTTGCCGATCCATCTCTCCAGCATTTCATTCAAGACATCGTCTGGGCTTACAGAGTCTCTGGCCAGCTGGATATCATTTTTGGGCAGACCCATCTGCCTCATGAGCTGGTTCCAGGACTTACAGGACACGGTGTTTGAGATGAAGTTGAAGAACAGCCTCAGAGCTAGGCAGAGAAAAGCCACGGAGACAGTCAGGGGAGTTGAGACTCAGTTCAGGAAAGGCAGAGGATCCTGCATCCGGCCTAGAACCCTAGAAGCTCGTGAGCTCCCCCGTGAGTGGACCGGCTGCTGCAGCATCCTGACCTGCTCCCCACCCACAGACAACCAGCCCACACTGCTGGGGCCCCACCTGTACCCGAGGTGCGGCAGGGGAGCCAAGGTCCCCAGAGAATCCTGCCTTCAGGGAGGGCGACCAGGATGGAGGGAGGGACGCTGTGGAGGCAGAAAGCAATGTGGGGTAGGAGCCAGAGGGTGGGGCAGAGAGTGGGTGCAGCGAGGGCTCAGAGGAGGGAAGCTGCTTGGACCACACTTGTCACAGAAGCAGGTCCCAGGGTGACCACACCTGCACACCCAGCTTGGCCTCACTCCTGAACACTGGGCAGGGCCAGGTGGGGCAACAGACTTGAAGCAAAAATGAAACTTAAAACGGAGCCACCCTACCCAGTCCCGAGACTGTGGATGAGTTAAATGAGATGTGTGTACAAAATGCTGCACGCACACTGCCGTCCTCAGGGACAGAGGTGGCCGGGGACTCGGGGCCCTGCTTTGTAACAGTCTCATTTAAAGGCAATGAAAAGGCACCTCCCAGCCCTTCAGAATTTTTAAGAGGGTCATAATGTGGGTGTGACTCATAAGCTTATATATAAAATAAATAGATTCATATTAAATCTTCCTGAAACTTAATCACTAGGAAATAGTGGCAAATGATTTTAAATTTTTTTTTTTTTTT